TGGGCTAACTAAGGCTATAATAAATGCGAGGTTGGTTCTCATCTTCTACTATTTTACCGGTGTAGGAGAGAGAGAGGAGCGAGCGGAAACGCCTAGCCCGCGAGAGAGAGAGAGGGAGGGTTGAGTTGTGATAGAGAGAGAGAAAGAGAGAGAGAGAGAGAGAGAGAGAGAGAGAGAGAGAGAGAGAGAGAGAGAGAGAGAGAGAGAGAGAGAGAAAATTCCGACATAAAGACCGAGATCAAATTTCTCCTCAAACACAGGTCATTTGCGTGTGGATGGTCTGTCTCATCGCTACGCAGTTCTTATACTGTCAACTGCCAAGGTGTCTGTCATTGGCATGCATACGAGTGCAGGGTCTACACGATTTTCAATCTGAGCGGATAGGACAATAGGACTATTAGGACTGTACCGAAACGAACTTTGGAACAAACGGCTTACTTTGGCAAGAAAGACAGAGTACAATGTAGTGTCTCCCCCGTTTCCCCCACTCCCCATAGACGCATCTTTCTCAGTGAAGCATCTATATAATATGTAATTTTGCTGCGAACGGACTGAGGGGTCAATTAAAGTGGAGGGCGCTCCTTTTTTGTTTCTACTTCCAGTACAGACATTGCGTCTCGCTCTCTCTCTCTCTCTCTCGCTCAATCTCTCTCTCTCTCTCTCTCTCTCTCTCTCTCTCTCTCTCTCTCTCTCTCTTTCGCTCTCTCTCTCTCTCCCTTTCTCTCTCTCTCTCTCTCTCTCTCGTTATCTCTCTCTCTCGCTCTCTCTCTCGCTATCTCTCTCGCTCTCTCTTTCGCTCTTTCTCCTTCTTTCTCTCACTCTCTCTCCCCCTTTCTCTCTCTCTCTCTCTTTCTCTCTCTCTTTCTCTCTCTTTCTCTCTCTTTATCTCTATTTCTCTCTCAGCGCGCGCACACACACACACACACACACACACACACAGTCACATACACATACATGCACACTTTCTCTGTCTGTCTGTTTGTCTGTCTGTCCTGTCTGTCTATCTGTCTGTCTGTCCTTCTCTGTCTGTCTGTCTGTCTGTCTGTCTGTCTGTCTGTCTGTCTGTCTGTCTGTCTGTCTGTCTGTCTCTCTGTCTCTCTGTCTCTGTCTCTGTCTCTCTCTCTCTCGGTCTCTCTCTCTCTTTCTCCCTATTTCTCTCTCTGTTTGTGTATGTGTGTGCGTACGTGCATGCGTACGTGCGGGGACATCACCATTTTCTCCTCTTCCGTGACTCTCCGTGACTCTCCATGACGTATTATTTTGGTCTCAAGAACATCTTACTTTAATCAGCGTAATATGTGGGCGCTTGGCGGGTGCTCTGGTGTGGTTTGCTCCTTCTTTCCTATCAAACCTCTTTCATCCTTATCTCCCATTCTTCTTTTTTATGTTTGTTCCTGAAGAAAGAATTCTCAGTGTAGTTCATTTATTATAAACGGTAGATGATGATTTCATCTGTGAACACGGATTAACAGGGACAATGAATGATACAGGTACGGCATTACATGAAATAATATGATATGGGGTACACCACATACAGAGAACATGAACTAATATCATAGAACACATAACCATACAGTTACTCTCTTGTAACACCTCTAATCTTCTGGCGCTCATATGACCTTATGCAGTTGCGAACGCCGTAAAACCTCTACTAAAACTAAAATCAGCGTAAGATGGAGGTTTTGGTGCTCTTGTACGCTAACTCTCTCCCCCCCCCCTTCCTCTCTCTCCCCTTCTCTCCCACCCCTTCTCTCCCACTCTATATTTGTCTGTCTGTCTGTCTGTCTGTCTGTCTGTCTGTCTGTCTGTCTGTCTGTCTGTCTGTCTGTCTCTCTCTCTCTCTCTCTCTCTCTCTCTCTCTCTCTCTATGTCATGTTCGAGCGATGGAAAGATGTAGATATGCCAATAAATAAATCTTTAAATGTATCTCGCAGGAGGTATGCCCCTCACGCAAA